TTGCCAGAGTCTATCGATACTAGCCGATAGTTCAGACATAAAGGGTAGGGCCTCCCCACTTCATGACTGATGGTTGACAGGGCTGGTCTTACGGGGGTCCAGCACAGGTAGCCACGGTTGCTGTGGGTTAATGATTGCCATGGTTGTGTGGATCTAGGGAAGGGTATTTCACGCCATTTTATGCTTATCTTTCAGCTTCCCGCTTTCCTCAGCTTTAATGTTCACTGAGCCTTAGAGAGGGTGGTAGAAGCCACCTGTCGAGGGCTGGGTCCACATCCCTCACTTATTTTCTGCCTCTTGGGCAGCTGTGAGTCTCTGCATTCATTACTATTTATGGAAGGAACGGGCACTCTGAGTATGAGAAACAGGGGGCCACTTTTGGTTATGGGCAGAAGCATTGGCATTGGAAGGCAGTTGGTTCCCGTGCTCCGTCTATGTTGTCTAATCTTTAGAGAAGCTAGTCATCTTCCTGAGTTGAGGAGACCACTTCTCTCCCACGTGTAGCCCTGCCACAGATCAGCCTAATACTCTGTGTACGTGACTAGCCATGGCTTGGGAATGCATGACCCACAGCAGGCCAGCTAAGGGTATTCTTCTAGGCCCAAGGGAAGCTGGCCCTTCCCACACAGATAGAGCCTGAGAATAGTACCTCTCTGATGTCATGGGGAAGCGTTGCATGACAGTGGCCTGCCAATGTACAGGCTCAAATGGAGAAGAGACAGCTGCTGGATGCATTCCATCATCCCAGGACAGCTACGCCCCTCTCCTCCCTGACAGCTAGTTCCTGGAGCCAAGGAGTTCTCCTACCCCCACCCCTTGTCAAAACTGGTTTGAACACTCTGTCATCCTTAGGCCTCCAAGCCAAGCAGCCCCCCCCCTTTCCACGCAGTTGCCATGTGTGTGAACTGAAAAGCTTCGCCTTCAGTGAAATCAACCGGTGCCATTTACTTTACATTGGGGAGTCCTACACGACTACCCGCTGGGAGGAGCATACACCCTCCGAAGCGTTTCCTATGTGCCGAACAAATTGATCTTAATGCACGGATGGCTGCCATTTGAGACACCGCTCACTTGTGAGAGGACGTGACTGCCTAGTAACATCAGGCTGTGTGAGAAAGCTGTTGGAATGAATCGGGTCCCAGAGACATAATGCAACAGGTGTCAGCTAAGGGTGCCATCTCCGCCCGCTACCCGGCCTCCAGGCCAACTCCAGCCCTGCGGGCAACTAGCGGTGTGGCTTGGGCACGTTATGTCTCCGTGGGTGAAATGAGGGTGATGCTAAGCTTGTAAAGGATGTTCCAGGATGGGTGGCGAGGGCCAAGTAGGAGAGCTGATGTGAAGTACACAAGACCGTGCCACGCGTCTGGGAAGCCTGAATAAGTACGAGCTGTTACTTGCCTCCCCCTTTCACTGAGCATTTCATAGAAAGAGGGAGGCAGAAAATATTTGCCGTGCCACCAAAAATATCGGAGAGAAGAGGGAAAACACGATGACGGGTCTGAATTGAGCCGACAGGAGTAGCTCGCCATCTGAATACCCAGCAGGCCTTCCTTATAATAGCTACGATGTATCCCACACCATATGTCCTCTCCTCCTGCCAAGTACTTAGTGGCTTTCCTCTGAGGTAGTTTCTTCCCTGGCTCTCATTTCCTAAGGATCAGCAGAGCTGAGTCCTTAGCTGAATCAGTCTAGGAATGGGATGGACACACACGTGATTCAGCCAAGGTCACCAGAGCCCTACCTGGCCTGAAACCCTCTGACTTCAAGCTAGACTCTTCCGGAGGGTTCAGAGGTCTTAAGGAGTCATTGACAGTGATGGCCAGGGGCTGAGAAGTTTATTGGAGGAAGGTATTAAGGACATAGCAGACAGCCAGATAGACAACAGCATGGTGATTTGGGGCAATAAGGAGATTGGGGCCCATGTCCGGGGTTGGCGGGGGGAATAGGTTGAGCGTTTAAGGCCAGGTTTCCTGCATCCCCCCAACAGGAAGTAAGAGTAGCAGGGAGTAGGGTTGTGTAGTCAGTGACATCCCTACACCCTCTTTGGTGTAAGCTTACTTCACCAGGCCAGAGATGAGGGCAGATGGAAGTCTGTTAGCTTCTCAGAGAGCGCTCTCACTGGAGGCTTGTGGTGCGAGCAAGCAGTCAGCCCTAGATTCTGACAGGGCTGGGCTTTCACTTCAGTGTCTGTGGCTACGAGATGATACTTCAACAGAAGTAATTTAGAGGAGAAAGCGTTCAGTTGAGCTCGCAACTCCAGGCGGCAATCCATCGTGGTAGGAAGCCAATGAGGCAGGAACTTCAAACGGCTGGTCACATGACATCATTGTCGCGGGCAGAAGGGTTGAGTTAATGCATGGAAGCTGGTATTCTTATACAGTCTAGGACCTGAACTCGGGGAGTGGCACCGCCTACTTTTAGGCTGAGCCTTCTCGTATCAATGAATGTGATCAAGGATATGTCCACAGCGCCCTACCTGACCCAGACAACTCCTCACGCTAGCACTAACCATCACAGATTGTGAAGCCAGAGGGGCCACCCTGCTGCAAGTTGAGGAGATCTTAACTGAGTTCAACTGAAGGGGGGAAAAGCAGAGGACAAATCAGATGGGGATGTGACTCATGTGACTCCGTCGGTAGAGTATTTACCCAGCACACAGGAAGCTCTGGGTTCAGTCCCCAGTACCATTGGGAGTGGGTGATGCACGTCTGCACTGGGGAGGGAGCCAAAAAGAGCAAGAGTTCAAAGTTTCCCCTGGCCACATTGCGAGTTTGAGGCTATCCTAGGCTACAGGAGACCATGTCTCAAAAAAAAAAAAAAAAAAAAAAAAAAAAAAAGTTACTTTGTAATGGATGAATACTTCGTCCAGCCTCAGACAGTACAGCCCATCTCCTTTTCCCCTATCTGAAATGCTTTCTCTCCTTGCGACTAAAAGATGTGAGTGGGAATTCTCACTGTACTTCTTGGTTTAGGATTGTGGTCCTCTGGACACAACAGCTATCATCACCTTCATTAGAGCAGCCTTGACTGTCTACAAGTTCAACATGGGGGTCTGTTGACTGGTCCCTCAAAGACAGAGAGGTTGCAAAAGGTCATTGGACCCAACCACTTTCCTGCTCCCACCACCCTGGCAGCTGAATGACACTCTGCCCCAGATGAACACGGTCTCGGGCATCTTGGGAGGGGTACACAGAGTAAAGAGCTATCTGTGCAGCTATGGAAAGCTGTGGCCCGTGCTGGGGAGAGACTTGGAGCCCATACATCTGTTGGGGACAGTCATACAATGCTTCTGCAAATAATCCCTCATTTATTCTCCTATAAACAACCCAATACAGTCATTCGTTGGCCTAGTTGGGGGAGTATATGTTCACACATGTCTGAATCACTGTTGTGTGTGTGTGTGTGTGTGAGAGAGAGAGAGAGACAGAGACAGAGAGATGGACAGACAGACAAAGAGAAACAGAGCAACCAGAGAAACCTGGTTGTTTGGTTGAATCTAGGAGAGCATCAAATCCTCATTAATTTTACACATCCATGGGGGTTTTTTATCAGTGTGTGATGTCCAACGCAGGGCGCTTCTACACACTTCGCACAAAGAGTAATGTGTTTGAGAAGACAGATGGTCCCTGACTTGGGGAGTAAACTCTAGACTGTCGCTAGGAGATATACGGGCCGTCAGGATGGGAGGAGATAAGGGTGACTTCAGGCTGTTTACACAGCTTCAGGGCAGCCCCAGTCACTGGCCTGTGGTGATCAAGGCTCCATCTCAGCCCTGGTGTCTGGAAGGATCTTTATGGCCTGTTGCCTCTGGGAGAGGCAGGCTGAATGGCCCTTCCTGTGGCTACAGATCCCCTGACAGCCTGAAGCAGCCCACAGGCCAACGTGGCTGGCGTATTTTGAGATGGGGTTGCCTTTAAGTCTTTGACTTTCCCCATGCCATATTTCTGTTTTCCTGGACACTTTGAATGGAATTTTACAAATTGCCGCTTTCAGTATTATAGAGAAACTTACATGAATCAATAAGTTAAAAAAAAAAGAAAACCCCAAAACCCAAAACCAAACCCAGCATCATAAATATGGAAACAGGGAACAGTGAGCCAGCTAAGAGAGCAGAGGCACTTTATTCTCACCAAGCCCAAGGACCTGAATCTGCTCCACGGTGGAAGGAGAGAACTGACTCCTGAAAGTGCATGTGTGTTGCAGCACATGCACACACACCCTGCACGTATGTACATGTGCACATCGCACAGATGTGTAAATAGGGAATCAGAATTCTAAAATTTCAAATTTAAATAGGCAGGACGGGCCTGGGAGAGGGGACGACTGTTCTACAAACATTAAGGAAATGTACGTTGGCATGACCCCTGCTCTCAAGAGCTCAGGGATCTTCTGTGGCTATCCTGCTTTTAAATCTTCTTTCTTTCTTTATTTTTCATACAGTATATATTGTATGCTGAGCACACTGCCCCACACCCCTTTCTCACCCCACCGGATTGTCCCTTTTGTCCCCGTAGCGTAACTTTACCTCCGTGTTATGTATAGAGACGTGGTTTTTCAGCTACCTATGTAAAATCCAGGAACTGTGTGTGTGACAGAAAACATACCAGCCTTTCTGAGCCTGGCTTAACTTGCTTAATGTGCCTCTCTCCCGCTCATCCCCAACAACAGAAACAAAAAACCCCACCACCACCAAACAACAAAGATGAAGGAAAGAAAGATGGCTCCGTCGATAGAGGGGCCTGCTCAGTGGTGGAAAGGGGAAAACCAACTCCAATAAGCTGGCTTCTGAGTTCCACCCAGGCGCATGGGCACACACACACACTGGGTAAAGAACGGGACGTAATACGGTGCTTAGCAAAACAAAGGGAAGAAATCTTAATCTATCACATGAAAATGAGAATGCTGACCCAACACATCCCATCCGAGTGTGTGCATTTCCGTGATCATTCTTGGGGCCAGCCTCATTGTCAATACCATCATCACTGAGCATCCCTGGGCATCGTATCCCTTCTCACGGGTATCCAAACTCACACTGAACAGTGAGTTCTGGGTTGCAAATGAGGATTTACTCCTGCGCCCTGTGTCTTCTGCATAAACCACGTCAACAGAAACACACACACACACACACACACACACACACACACACACGCACACACACGCACACACACACGGGTGCAATAGTACAATACCCTTGGGCACAGAATGGGTCTCGGATCTCAGAGGGGCCAAGCAAGTTCTTGCCTAGCAAGGTGCTGTTGGAAGGTCCCCGATGTAGATAGACCGTTTGGCTCGGAAGAGCCGGGGTGTTGTGTATTGACTCATACAGTGTGTGAGAAGTTCTTGGCATGGTGAGCACTTTCACCAACTGACCATCTTGCCAGCCCAGTATCAACACGTTAGAATGTACAGTATAAATGAACTTATTGTCGATTGTCCGTCACTCATGAGACCACCTGCATTTCACCTTGGGCAGTGTTCTAATGTTAGTGGGTCTGAATTAGCAGAGAAGCAACTGATTGGCAGCAAACTGAACACACTATTGAGTATTGACTAGTTAAACAACCACCTTTTAGTCAAAACTGGTAACAGTTGCTTCTCCTCGTGGAAGGGAAAGCTCAGGACAAAGGAAGCCATTATGTCCAGTATACTCCTTGACTTTTTTTTTTTTTTTTAATTGCATTTCTATGTTTCCTGTATGTATGTGGTATGTGGGGGTGTGTGCCAGAGCACTTTTGTGACAGTGAGTAAAAGCACTTGTTGCCTGACTTTATTGCCTGGCTTTGTCGCCAGGCTTTGTGGCAGAACCCGAGGACCTGAGAATCCCCAGGACTCTCATGGTATGAGACAGCTGACTTCTGAACACTGTCCTCTGACCTCCTTAAGCAGGTCCTGGGGCTTGAAATTAGGTAATCTGGCTTGAGGGCAAACACCTTTCCTGCTAAGCCATTTTGTGTGTTGCCCCTGCCGTATGTCCCTCGTTATCTGATGTATTAAAATTAGCTAGGTCTCCTAAGCAACTGCCAGCAATGTGAGCTTTCCTACCTTGTAATAGCTATACCTGAGGTTGCTAGCTACTTTCAGAAAGGAAGCTGCTAGAAGTTTCTCTCTGCTCCCAGAGCACAGTGCTGGGGAGACAAGAGGGGAGAGCTCTCCTTGTAAGGTGTTGGGAAGGACTGCGTGTGAAGGGCAGCCCTCTGGGAAAGGACCTGGGTTCAAACATGTGCCTTTCTCCCCCAACCCCTCAGAGGGTGTGCGAGCCTCCAGGGTTACCAGGATCCTGATTCAAAGGTCACCATTCAGTGACCTTAAGACCTCTGATTGATTTGGGAGCCTCCAGCCCTCTGGCCCACTGGCCTCTCTTGGGACATCTCGGGCAGCCACTCCAGACTCAGGGACGCCAGGAGCCTCTTTTCCTTAATCCCTCCAGCTGCTGGCTAGAGGCCCCAGCAAGGGCCAGGAAGATGCCTCATTTCCCTGACCCTAGCAGAAGGGGAGGGGGAGCCCTTCTGCCTGCCATACAAGAACCATATTTCTATTCCAAGAGGGTCTAGGGAATGCTGCTGTCTGGCTAGGCAAGAGAAGAAAACAAAACAAAAATCGTTTTCAATACTGTTAAAAAAAAAAAAAAAAAGCACATAAGATTGTAAATTGTTAGAGACACTGTAAGAAAAAAAAAAATTATTGAGGACTGGCCCAGTAGATACAAGGACCTTTGGAGTTTTTAAAAGTTTACATTAAGTTATTTAGTGTGCGTGCGTGCGTGCGTGCGTGCGTGTGTGTGTGTGTGTGTGTGTGTGTGTGTGTGTGTGTGGCTCTTATGGCAGTCAAAGAACAACTTGCAGGAGTGAGCTCTGTCCTTTCCATGATGGAAGGGGCCAGTCCCAAGGACTAAACCAAGTCTTTATGCTTCCTCAAACACCTTTCTCACTGGCCCTGTTTTTGGTTTTGTTTGTTTGTTTGGGTTTTTTCTTTTTTTTCCCCAGGGTTCAGGGGTGAAGATGCTGTATAACTCTAAACACAACATGGGCAGGTTTGGGGGTTCTATAATCAAGAATCGGGATTCAGGTCTATGGATAGGAATCACCAGGAAGGAGCTGGATTCTCAGAGACATGGCTCTGCCACCTGGGTGTGGTCCTGTAGGCCTGTAGTCCCAACAGCTTGGGGGCTGCAGTGGGAGGGTTGTGAGATTCAGGGCAGGTGGGCGGGGAGGGGAGGGGGAACTCATTACATAATGAGTTCCATGCCCGCCTGGGTGACTTGTTCCCACCCTGTCTCAATGCCCCCACATCACCATAGACGAGTCAGGTTTTTCTTTACCTGGAGGGGCTAGAGTTGGGAAGCAGATGCTGTTGAGTAAGTAAGGATCTGAGGCTGCAGCTCAATTGGTAGAACACTTGCCTAGCCTACTACACAAGGCCCTGGGTTCAATCCACAGTACTACAAAATATAAAGATTAAAAAAAGAAAAAAAAAATGAACGGGATTCAGCAATGCCCTCCTCAGACAGGCCATCAAAAATACAGGGAAGAAATGTGAAAATAGGCTGGTAGAATCACACCAAACTTAAAAGTCCCGAGGCCAGAAAATGCAATTGACAGACCACAAAGGTCTAGGGGACCGGCAAGATGGCTTTGAACTAAGGCTGGCAACCTGCACTCTGTCCACGCTGTGAAAGGAAAGGAGCAAATCCCGAAAGCCATCCTCTGACCTCCACACATGCGCCACGGCAAGTTCCAGTGTATGCCACACACACACACACACACACACACACCAAATAAACCTTTTAAAATGGCAATCTACGAAATGAGAGAAAATGCCTGATGAAGTGTAGAAGTTTAAACATATGAGGAATTCCAACAATGACACGATTAAAAAAAAAAAAAAAAAAGCAAAGTCATGTGGCTTGGTAATTAAGTCCTCTTCCATAGGACTGGGGATCGTTCCCTGGCACCACAGACACAGATGGTAACCAAAATATCCACAATCAGTAAGTCTTAAAAAAGCAGCAACCTGGGGTTGGAGAGATGGCTCAGTGTTTAAGAGTATTGGCTGCTCTTCCAGAGGTCCTGGGTTCAATTCCCCACAACCACATGGCAACTCACAACTGATTGTAACTCCAGTTCCAGAGGATCTGACACTCTCCCACAGACATCAATGGATATAAAAATAAATGTTTAAAAAGCCAAAACAAACAAACAGAAAAACAGCAATCTGGTTTCATCATTCAAAAAAAAAAAAAAAAAAAAAAAAAAAAAAAAAGGAAAGAGGTTAAATTATTGTTTCTCCAAAGACATAAAATGGCCACCAAACCCAAGAAAAGGCATCTGATGTCATTAACCATTAGAAAAAAAATGCAAACCGGGACCCAGATGCAGCATCACCAGACAATTAAGATGGCTGCAGGGACAGTGAGATGGCTTAGATGGTAGAGAGGACTTCGCTACCAAGCCTAATGACCTGAGTTCAATCCCTGGGACCCACATGGGAGAGAACCAACTCCTGAAAGTTGTCCTCCAACCTCGTGCTAAGACATATGCATGAAGCCACACACAGTAAATAATATCAGTCAACTCTATATGAAAGGAGGCAGCGGCAGAAGCTCAGGAATACCGGAAGTGCCATCTTTATTTCTACATCCACAGATTTGACTGGCAGAGGTAACTAGAATCATACAGCATTTGTCTCTTTGGATATCTGGACGTTCTTCTAACTCAAGCTTAACGTCCTTGAGTTTCCCACATGGAGCATGTGCCAGCATTCCCTTCTTTTTTGGTGACTGAATCTTTTTCCCACTGTATGGGCATGCCACGGTTTTGTTTAACCCTTCGTGCGCTGACAGACATTATAGGGTATCTTCTACCCCTGGATTAGTGCGTGTAATTCTCCTACAAGCGCAAGCATAAGAATGCTTCTTCAAGACCCTGCTTTCATTTCTTTTGGGTACTGCTGGACGTGGTCAACAGAGAACTTGTTTTGCAAATTCCTGTTGTCCCAGTATAGTGCCTGGAATTCTGGACACTTTGAACTATGCTTACAAGACACGCCCAGGAAGATTCCTCTGCTGGGACTCTGGTCGCGTTATCTCCTTCGAGATATGACCTCTCTCTGTGTGCGCATAGGGGCGGTGGAGCTGGGGGTGCCCTTGTGTGCATGAAAGCCAAAGGGCAAACTCGGGTGTTGTCTCAGTGCGGCCACTGTCCACTTTTTTTTTTTTTTTTTTTTTTCTTTAAAGACAGGGTTTCTCACTGGCCTGGAACTTGCCATGTAGGTTAAGGCTGCCTGGCCAAGGAGCCTCACTCTTGCAGTTCTCCGGCAAGGGGATTACAAGAACACGGGCACTACCCCTGCTTTTGTTTGAACATTCGTTTGTTATTAACGTGGATGTTGGGGGATTGAATTTAGTTACTCATCCTTGTGAAACTCCACTGACTGAGTCAGGAGCAGGTGGGATGGGTATCCACTCCACTGGGGCCTGGGGGTGGGGGGGTGGGAGGGTGAAACACGCTGACAGGGAAACAGGAACAGAGGGGAGGTTGGTGGCCTACTAGAAGGCAGGGTGTATGCTGAGGGGAGCGAGGTCTTCATCCTAACGAGCACTGGCCAGTTTCACAAAAGGAGGTGATGCCCTCCGACTTTTCCTCTTGATAGGACCACCCGGAGGAGGCGGCAAGTGCTGAGTTCATCAGGCTCCCACTCAGGAGGGGGGGGGAGAGCAAGCTAGGGAGACATAAGGGGTGACCAGGAACACGGGTACAGCCATGGAGACATGGAGGCATGGGAAAGAGCTGTACGGGGACAGCTGATTTACTTCGTAAGACGTAGGGTTGATGGTAGGGTGGGGAGGTTCGACATGAAACACCGTCTTCTGGACATGGCATGCAATCATGGACACATGCAGCTGTGGCTTACCTGCACAAACAAAGAAGGGAAGTCATGAGAGGAGGGGACTCATTGGGAAGAAATGAGGATGTCAACAGGAGTGGAGGGGAATAAGAGACGGAATTGGGGTGGGTAAGATGGTCAAAAATGTAAGATGGCTCAGCTACTCGAGTGCTTGCTATGCAGCTATGAGGACTATAGCCTATGCAAATGCTACGTGGTTGAGTTCCCTTCCCCGCCCCAATGCCCTCCGCTGTGAGACCGGGAACCCCAGAGCACCTCCCCACAAAAGTGAGCTCTGGGTTTGATTGAGAGACCCTGCCTCAGTAATAAGATAGGCTACCGATGGAGGACGATCTCCCAGCACTAAACTCGGGCCTCCGTGCACATGCTGTGTGCTCACACGTTTGCGCACATGAGCGCGTGCGCACACACACACACACACACACACAGAGATCCGTTGGGGTTTATCAAAGACTACTTGTTTCCCACCTCTTGTACCAGGTGGCTGAGTGACAGGCAAGCAGCCCTTGCTGCTCAAAACTGAGACCATGTTTAGATAGAAACAGTTGGCAGTGGCTGGACAAATTTCTCCCGGAGTTAGGGGAGGGTGAGGCGAGAGTTTCCTCCATATGCTGAGCCAGCAGATGTGTCCTTGGATCGGATGACAGCTATGGGGGTGGGGAGGGCTAGAAGCAGAGAGCTGAGGTAACCCTGCCCAGACTTAAGCCTACACAGTTGCTCTGGCTTTGACGTACATACATCATCTGGGGTGCTCTACTCCAGCCCTCTCTTTTAAAGAATTTCCCTTTAAAGTCCTCTCATGATAAAAGGAGTGTGTGCTCTTTGTAGCTGCGCTGGAAATCTTAGGCGGGGAAATATCAAAAAAGAAGGGGGTGGGGGTGGGGGTGGGTACCCACAATCCAACAGACCAGAGGTAAACGGGGAATATTTTGAAATCTTTCCACTCATTCTTCTCCATGAAAATACATTCACCAAAAGTGAACATTTGAGAACGCTATTCATATCTTTCCACCAGTTTCCAAGCGCATGCCCGTGTTGACAGCTAAAACCCCGTCTTTAGGTGTGTGAGGGTCACAGAAAGGAATCGGAAACCCCACTGTCTTGGCAGAGTTTTCATATTCCACGTGGCTTTGCTGTTCCCACCCCCATCCCCACATATTCCTTCGCCAGCATGGCTTCTACTCTGATCAGACACTTTTAGACACACCAGCTCTAGCAACAGCTTAAAATTTCACATCGTGGGCATGCTTAGTTGCCGGCCAGCTATTACTGAATGTTTAGTCCAATTTGTTTCGGTAAAGGTAGAAAAAACTAAAGAAACCTTTTTCCAGTGGCAACATTTCATTACATTGTTCGTTCATACAGGGGGAGGGCACAGTGAACTTGCGTAGTTAGGAAGACATCTTTGGGGAGCCAATCCTCTCCTTCTACTCACCATGTGGGTCCTGAGATTGAACCTGGATCCTCAGGCTTGGCAGCAAGTGCCTTTATCTGTTTCCCTTCTTATGGACAATTACTAAGACTGAAAATACTCAGTCGACAGGAAAAAACAGTCGAAGGTTCTTGAAAAAAAACGAAAGTAATCAGCTCCATCATCATACAACACAAAGGCAGTGACATTGTGTGTATATTCTTGTGTATGCATGTACATGTATTTGTGTGCATGTGTGTCCATATGGGTGCATGGGATATCATTCCTCATGGGTCACACACCTTTTTCTTTCTTTCTTTCTTTCTTTCTTTTTTTTTTTTTTTTTTTTTTTGAGACAGTGTTTTTCACTTTTACCTGGAACTCTCTCTGTAGACCAGGCTGGCCTCAAACTCACAGGGATCTGCCTGCCTCTGCCTCCTGAGTGCTGGGGTTACAGACAATGCACCAACATGGCCCTATGTCCAGCACTTTCATGAGGTGTCTGGGGATTGGACTTGGGCCCACAAGCTTGCAAGGCAAACTTTTTATCCACCGAGCCATCTCCCGAGCCCGGGTAACTGCTACTTTTTTTTCCTTTTTAAACAAACACCTCTTTCTTACTTATTATTATGTACATCCCAGTTTGGTTTCTGCTGTTGGGGTAAAGACCATGATCCCAAACCGAGTCTATTTCAGCTTATAGTTCACCACCAGGGGAAGGCCAGACCCTGGAGTCAGGAGCTGCATCTGGAGCCTGGGGGAGGGGCCCTGCCTACTGGCTTGTTCCCACTGGTTCCAAAGTCTGTTTTGCTGTTTAACCTGGATCAACTGCTCACGGATGGCGGGTGGGCTGGACATCAGTCATCAATTGAGAAGATGCCTTCACAGACTTGCCTACAGGACAACCTGATGTGGCCATTGTCTCAACTGAGGTTCCTCTTCCAGGATGACTCCAGCTCATGTCAAGGTGACAATACATAGGCAATAGGTAAATAAAATAAAAACTGGCCTATGCAGCTTATTTATGTATCTTGGAGACAGGCTCTCAGGTGAGCCCCACTGGCCTTGAGATTTCTACATACAGCTGAGGATGACACGGACTCTGAGTCTCCTGCCTTCAACTCCTTGGTGCTAGGATTATTGGGTGAGCACTACACACCAGCTCTGTGTGGTGCTTGGGTAGAACCCAGGGCCTGATGTACTCTGGGTAAGTGCTCTGCGTACCTCAGCCCTGGGATAGCCCTTTTAAGTTTTTTTTTTTTCCCTTTCTGTTACCTATCAATCAGTCTATTTATCATCTATATATCTACTATCTAGCCATCTATCAATCTAGCTAGCTAGCTATCCTCTATCATCTATCTATTATCTGTCATGTATTTATCATCTATCTGCCTAACATCCTTCTATCTATTATCTATCTACTATCCATCATCTATCATTCATCTATAATCTATCTTCCATCTATCCATCATGATTATCATCTAATAACCACTCATCATCTATGTACCCATAATTTATTTCTCACCCAGCAGTTACCTATCCAGTCATCTTACAATCTATCATCCACTTACCTCCTTATCATCTATCTTCTATTCGCCATCTATCTATGCATCTATCATCTGAGTAACTATCACCTATCATTTATCTATTAATATTCCGGACGCTGGAGCTCTGAGAGTTCTAAGTTGTCCTGATTTACATAGCAGGTTCTAGGCTAGCCAGGGATGCAAGGTTAAACCTTTCCTCAGATAAACATTTTTTTTTTTTTTAAGTTAATTTATCGTCGGGAAAGCTCAACTGGACTCTTTGCTTATGGTCCTCCAGGACTTGCCTTGGAGAAGGCCTTGGGAGAAGAACCGACGGGTCCATCCCTTTGCCTTTTCTGACTGCAGTATTCACCCTCCAAGACACCCCAGCAATCCTCACATCCCAGTGAAGTGACCGATAAGAGGAACTGAGACTTCCTGCCAGCATCAGGCACCAAATCACCAGCTCTCGGGCGAGCCAGCTGGGATGCGGCTCTTTCTTCCCACTCTCCTCAAGACTTCTGCCAAACCAAAACTGGCCAAACTCTTTACAAACTTAAGGAAGAAACCCCACGAAAAATTACTGCTACTCTCAGAACCACAGAAATGACAAGAGGACCAGATGTAGTGGCTCATGCCTTTAATCCCAGTACTTGGGAGACAGAAGCAGGCTGCTCTCTGTGACTTTGAGGCCAGCCTGGTGTGCAGAGGGGGGTTCCAGGACAGCCAGGACTCCAGAGTTAGACCTTGTTTCAAAATAATTATTGGGGGGAGGGTGTGAATACATTCGAAATACGTATGTATGAAATTCTCAAAGTATTAACAAAAACATAGTTTGAAAGGAAATGGCCGGAGATAACAATATGTTTATTATTTTAAGCCACTAAGGTTTTTTTGTTTGTCTTTTACAATTCATAACATTTTTATTATGTTTAGTTGTGTGAGTGTGTGTAGGGGCAAGAGCATAAGAACAGGGTGCATGAAGAGGCTCCGTGCCGCTGAAGTTAGAATGACAGGTATTTGTGACATGACTGTTAGGAACTGAACTCAGTTCTTCCGCGGGAGCAACCGCAGGGCCATATCTGCAATCCCTCTCTTTAAATAAAAATCAACAACAACAAAAACCACAAAAAAAAAAAAAAAAAAAACACACACACACAAAGTAAACCCTGTTTGTGTGTGTGTGTGCCTGTGTAGGTGTATGTGTGTGAGAGTGCATGTGTGCATGTGTGTGTGTGTGTGGAGAGAGAGAGAGGATGAGAGAGGGAGAGGGCCTGCATGTGTGTGTGTTTGCATACACACATACGTGCCTGAGGAGGTGGATACCCTCGACCTGAAGTTACAGATGGTTATGAACCGCCCAGTGTGAGTGCTGGGAACTAGGCCTAGGTCCTCTGCATGAGCAAGATGTGTTTGTTTATTTGTTTGTTTTGAGAGAGGGTCTCACTACTTGGCACTAGCTGTCCCGGAACTCACTGATGTAGCCCAGACTGGCCTTGAACTCACAGAGATCCACCTGCCTCTGCCTCCTGAGTGCGGGAGTTAAAGGTGTACAATTCACTCGAACTGTAACCTGGAACTGTGGATCAAACCCTTTCTCTCTTAAGTGGCTTTTGTCCGGGTATTTTTATCACGGCAATAGGAAAGGAAACTAAGACCACACTCATGATCCAATCACCTCTCTAAAGCTACCGGCTGGATAGCAAGCCATCAACACATGAGCCTTTTGCAGGGACCTTCATTTCCAAACTTTGATACGTAGTGTATTTACTTTGTCAGAGAATGGTGAGTGACTATAATCGGTTTACATGAGCTAACCCTCCCCAAATGCATACATCAGGTTTCAAATCCCCATTCACTCAGACTGTGACCACACTTAGAGCTACGGGCTCTTTAGAGTAACAGTGTTTTTTTTTTAAAAAGGGAAGCCGCATGAATGCTAAGTTGATATGACTAATGTCCTTGTAAGAACGGGATGCAGACACAAGCTTCGGACAGAGCATGTGCTCTGATTCAAAGAGGCTAGGCACCTGAGAGTCCTGAGAGGGAACCGTGGAGAAGCCAACCAA